CTTCTGAAGAGGCTGGACAAAGGAGGAGGCTCCCAGGGATCTGGACAAAGGAACTCAGGGCTCATCTGGAATGGGTATTTCTACTCCACAGGAGAGTGACTGAGGCCCAGAATTGGGCCAGGATTGGATGGGAGGGGTACTAATGCCTCTTGCTTTGTGTAGCCTCTTGCTACATGACAGCTTAAGTCAAGGTTTCCTTCAAACCAAGTAACCTAGACAAAGGACCCTTGGTTCAAACTGGCTACGGCTCTCTTCCTACTGACCCTGTCTGACTACATTCCTCCTCCTCAACCATGTTCAACTAGGAACAACAAGAGTACGCTAGAACCTATGTTAGTGGGGTCACAAGCTACTAGTTATCCCACCCCCAGGGTCTGAATGAGCCAAGCCTCAGGCCAGCAGCACCTTGATCCTGAAATATAAGGGTCCCTGTCGAGGCCTAGTCCCTCAGTGCATTCTCCTCTCAGGAGACTACATTACCTAAAGTATGGAGGAATCTGAGGGTCATGGGAACCTTCTCTACTTAGCCTCAGCCTGCTATTCTTGGCCAGATCCAGGAAGCTTTTGTCCAGGTTGGATGCAAACTAAGGAAGCTGGGCTCCCAGTATTAGGTAAGCTGGGGAAGATCAGAGATGGCTTTGTATTAAAAAGCCTACAATGGAACTTCCCCCTGCAACTCACCTCCCTCCATTAAGGAGACCCCAGTCTACCCCAGTCTAATCCAGCTCCTCTTCTGGGATAGGTAGAGGGAGGGGGCTCACCAAGCAACACTCACACTGGGTTCTGAAGAATCCGGGGCTTGGGTTGAGGACTCCAGCCAGACTGAGACTGCTCCAAGATGAGAGGGTCCCACCCCCAGCTTCTCCAGGCCTGCCCTCCCGCCCACAAAGCCCAGTTCTCCACGCCTGCCCAGGCACACAGCCTTCCCAGAATCAACAAGGCCACCTCATAAATCCCAGAACACTCTGAAACTGTGAGAAGTGATAGTGGTTGAGGTCAACTCATGGTAGCTTCTTTGCCAGGGGTGGGGGTGGGAACCTTTCTGAGGGCTATGTCCAGGGACACAGACAGGTTTCTAGAAAGGGAAAGAAAAACAGAATGGAATAATCCCGCTCCTTTCTCTTTTTTTTTTCTTTTCTTTTGCCAGTTCTGGGGGTTTGAACTCAGGGCTTCGTGCTTGTTCAGCTGGTGCTCTACCACATGAGCTATGTCTCCAACCTAGCTTTTTTTCTTTGGGGGGGGGGGGTCCGGTTGTGGGGCCTGAACTCGGCCTGGGCGCTGTCCCTCAGCTCTTCAGCTCAAGGCTACCTCTCTACCACTTGAGCCACAGCGCCACTTCTGGCTTTTTTTCTTTTTGCTTATGTGGTGCTGAGGAATCGAACCCAGGGCCTCAGGCATGCAAGGCAAGCGCTCTACCACTGAACCACCTTCCCAGCCCCTCTAAACTAGCTTTTTGCTGTTTATTTGGGAGATAGAATCTCCTGGACTCTTCTGCCTGGGCCAGCCTTTAACTGCAATCCTCCTGAGAAGCTAGGATTACAGATATGAGCCACTGTCGCCTGGCTGATAGGGCCCATTCTGATTAAAGCAAGACTAAGTATATTTGTTCAGCTACATCAGAGAGTGGCCTAATCCTGTGATAATAGAATGAGGATCCAAATGATATTTAGTCAAGCATGAGTATGAGATATTAATGCGTAGCCTGTAGCTGTGCAGAAACAGCTAATGGCAACTCAGTGCATCAATAGAACAAACAATACTGTTTCTTTTTCTTTATTCTGTCCTGCCCAGGCCACCTGGAGTCTGATGCCCAGAAGGACCAGCTTAGAGAAAATAGTTACCAAATGGGCCAAGTCCAAGTCTAAGAACATATTCATGCTGGGCGCTGGTGGCTCACGCCTGTAATCCAAACTATTCAGGAGGCTGAGATCTAAGGATCGCGGTTCAAAGCCAGCCCGGGCAAGAAAGACCGTGAGACTCCTATCTCCAATAAACCACTAGGAAACCGGAAGTGGCGCTGTAGCTCAAGTGGTAGAGCGTTCGCCTTGAGCTGAAGAGCTGAGGGACAGCGTCCAGGCCCAGAGTTCAAGCCCCCACAATTGTCAAAAAAAAGAAAGAAAAACAGAACATATTCATGATGAGGGCGAGGATGAGATTAAAGACTCAGTCCTATAACAGTTGCATGAAGAGACTAGAGTTACGCTAAGACAAGGCTCAGAAATCTCCACTATTGCTGCCTATTTTTTTGGTCGGGCTGAGCTAAAGTCAGAAGGAAAAAGTAGCTCCATGACTATCAAAACAGAGCCAGAACCAACCACAACAGAGATTCATTTAAAAAAAAAAAAAAATTAAAAAGTCTAGCTGGAGCTGGGTGTCGGTGGCTCACGCCTATAATCCTAGCTACTCAGGAGGCTGAGATCCGAGGATCACGGTTCAAAGCCAGCCTGGGCAGGAAAAGTCCGTGAGACTCTTATCTCCAATTAACCATCAGAAAACCACTGTGGCTCAAGTGATAGAATGCTCACCTTGAGCAGAAGAGCTGAGGGACAGCGCCCAGGCCCAGAGTTCAGGCCCCATGACCAACCAAAATAAAAAAAAAGTCCAGCTGGTGGCAACTCAGGAGGCTGAGATCTGAGATCTGAGGATCTAGGTTCAAAGCCAGCCTGGGCAGGAAAGTCTGTGGGACTCTTATCTCCAATTAACTACTAAAAAGTTGGGCTGGGAAGGTGGCTCAGTGGTAGAGTGTTTGCCTTGCACGCATAAACCCCTGGGTTCGATTCCTCAGCACCACATAACAGAAAATGCTGGAAGTGGCGCTGTGGCTCAAGTGGTAGAGCTTTAGTCTACCACTGAGGGACAGTGCCCAAGCCCAGAGCTCAGGCTCCACGACCGACCAAAAGAAAAAAAAAAAATCTAAAATGCTGGAAATAGCACTGTGGCTCAAAGTGGTAGAGCACTAGCTATGAGCAAAAAACAAACTCAAGGACAGCGTCCAGGCTCTGAGGTCAAGCCCCAGAATCAGGACAAAAACAAAAAACAAAACTGTATTCATCTTAAAAAACTGATTGATAATTGCTAGTTAGTATACCTCTTTAGAATAGGACCTAAAGCATCACTAGAGATGTGCAAGCAGAGGCAAACTCATCAATTATAGATGTGTTGGCTGAGCATGGAAGAGCAAGCCTGTAATCCTAGCATTTAGAAGGCAGAGGCAGGAGGATCACAAGTTCAAGGTCAATCTGGGTTACATAGTGTGTTCCAGGCCAACTTGGGCTTCATAAAGAGACTGCATCTCAAAAATAAACACAAAGAACTTATAGATGTGTTAGCCTAGGCTGCTTCTAGCCTCAGGACTCACACTGGCCATTCTGGGATATTCTAGATGGGAAATTGAGAGCATATATGAAAAGCCTCAAGTGAACTCAACAGAAGAATTCTAGGGAGTGAGGCTAAAATATTCCCAGGGTCAATATGTCTAGTACTACTAAATGGGGACCTTCCTATAAAGGAAGCTTGCTGTGAGCCTTCTGAGTACTTGCTGAGGTCAGCTCAAGGGTTATATCCAAGCCTTACCTATTTTCCACCTACAGCCCTAGGCTAACTTCATCTCCTGCCCTGCCTTCCAGCCTGACAGTCTCTTTCTTCTCCTCCTCCAGCTCTTTATCTTTCATACTCCCAAACCACCTTCCTGTCCTTCCTCTATGTGGACCACTATACTAGCTCTGGAAAGGAACAGAACAGGAATTACTGGCCTCACCATAGACAATGGGAAATTGAAGTTCAACAGAGTTGGTGTGAATGAATTGTACAACAGAGGTCAACACAGGTCTCACCACATTTACTCTAATATTACTCTGATATGGAGAATGGATTTGTGTATCTTTGTGTGTGTGTGTGTGTGTCAATCATGGGGCTTGAACTCTGGGCTTGGGCACTATCCCTCAGCTCCTTAGCTCAAGGCAAGCGCTCTACCACTTGAGCTCCAGCGCCACTTCCGGTTTTCTGGTGGTTTATTGGAGGTAAGAGTTTCACAGACTTTCCTGCCCGGGCTGGCTTTGAACTGTGATCCTCAGATCTCAGCCTCCTGAGTAGCTAGGGTTACAGGTGTGAGCCACCGGTGCCGGGCTGAATTTGTGTATCTTTCTTCGTGGCCCAGGCACCTATATCTCTGCCAGAGATGGACAGTAATCTATAGAACTTTGAAGAGTATGGGCCCTACCTACAAACACAAGTACAAAAATCAGGCATAAGCCGGGCGCTGGTGGCTCACGCCTGTAATCCTAGCTACTCAGGAGGCTGAGATCTGAGGATCCAGGTTCAAAGCCAGCCCGGGCAGGAGAAACTGTGAGACTCTTATCTTCAATAAACCACCAGAAAACCGGAAGTGGCGCTGTAGCTCAAGTGGTAGAGCGCTCGCCTTGAGCTGAAGAACTGAGGGACAGCGCCCAGGCCCAGAGTTCAAGCCCCACGACCGACAAAAAAAAAAAAAAAAAAATCAGGCATAGATATGGTTTTCTCCTCTATATATATCTCACTTAAAGCCATTATATAGTCATATCCCTTACAATTACACACACACACACACACACACACACACACACACACACACACCTATATAATCACATTCCTATAAAAACAGGCACAAACCCACAGGCCCATATGTGACCCAAATGCCCTGTAGTCCAGTCCCATTCTCTCTCTACCGTTCGAAAATCCGAGGGCTCCTAAATTTGCCCTCTATGAAATAATTATTGAGTCTGGGTTTTGAGGTCATTGAAGTGACCTCAACCCCTAGAACATCTGCATGGAACATGGAGGAAAACCACACTTGAGATTACAATTTGCAAGCATCCTACCCTCTTCCCTGCCACTAGCCCAGTATGTTTAACAGACTCCTCTGCAGAGCTGGCTAATCCTGTTAAAAGTGAATCAGAATCCCCCCACCCCAAAAAGATCTAGATAGGCCTGAACCTGAAGCAACAGTGTCCAGTAGGCCCTACCCCACAGTGTGTAGACGTTGTCTCCTTGAAGTGGAAGAGCAGGGACCAGAGGATGCAGAAGAGGAAGGCGACAAGTGGACAGCAGACTGTGACCAGGGCCACCATGGTGAAGCGGAGCCGGAACAGAGTCCCTTCCCGGTCCAGCGGCAGTGGGACCTGGTACATCTTGTTAGACCTGGAGATGGAGTGGTGTGCTGTCAGGGTCTCAGGCATTGTGGCTGGGAATCAGTGATAAAGTCAACCTTTGTGCTCAGTCCTACATGTAGCTGTGCTATAAGGCAGGGAATCTAATGAGAATGTCTTCTAAACTTGAACAGCTCTTGCCCTGGGTGAGAAAGATTCAGAATCCCAATACAATGTTCAACTTGAATTTCAGGGAGAAGACAATAATCCCAGTCTGTTAACAGGATGAAACAAATAGATTGGGAGATCTCTCCCCTCTAACCTCTCTTGACAGACCTAAGACTGCAGAAGCTAGTTTCTCACTGTTTCAAGAACTAAACCTAAACTCAACCAGAGGACAAAATGGTCCATCTCCTCCCCCAAGTCTCTGGGCCTCAAGGCCTCCTTGCTTCACCCACCGGGCTTGGGGGTACTCCTGAACCTTCAGCCCCTTCCCAGGCTCTGTGTTCTGTGTGGGAGCCCAGCAGTCCATTGTAGCAGGGGCTCCATGGAAGCTGACAGAACCTTGAACCTCTGGTTTTCTCTGACTGCTGCCTCACGTGCTCTGAGGGTGAAAGGCTTTGCAGAATCAGGCCTGACACTAGCCTGGGCTTGCTGTTTGCCGGATAGAGCTGCTTGGTCAGCTTCTGGAAGTTTCCCAGTACCCAGAGGCTTGGTTCACCCCCCTCCTGAGACTAGGTAAGAGCTTTGAGCACTGTGATTTCTCCCTCAGACAAGGGTATCTAAGGTGGAGAACTTTAACACCAGCAATCCCCCCCCCCCCCCCCCCAGAGTATAAAAGGGAAAACAGGCAGAAACCTAGTCAGGGTCACACAGCAAATAGAAGAACCATCAGTAGGAAGATGTGAGGGTCAGAGTTATATACTGAAACTGGCCTGCCTTGACCCTCTTCTCTCTGGGCCTGAGCTCTGGGCAGAAAGGACAGATTAAGACTGGAGAGGGGGAAGGACAAGAAATTTTAAAAAACAAACAAAAAAACCCCCAAATCCTACAAGGGCTAGTGGTTCACACTTGTAATCCTAGCTCCTCAGGAAACTGAGAGCTTAGAGGGTCATAGTTAGAAGCCATACCAGAAAGAATAATCCATGAGATTCCATCTCCAATTAACCAGAAAAATGCCAGAATGGCATGATTCAAGTGATAGAATGCCCGCACTGAGCAAGAAAGCCAAGAGTATAAGACTGTCAGTACCACCACCAACAAAAATGAAATAAAAAAATTTTAAATAAGTTGAAGTGCCTGTTGGCCTTATTCCCATCGTAAAGATGGAGAAACCAAGATGCAGAACTTTCCTCCAAGCTGCTGAACTCGAAGGAAAATCAGAAAACCTGGAGTTTAGGTGTCTGGGGGTTTAGGCTTTTCGGTGCCAAGACACAGCTGGCTCCGGAAACATAAAAAACCTGCCCTTCTGGTCTCAAAGTCCTTGCCAAATTGAGTCATAATCTTCCTGGCCCAGCCCTCAGGAAGAACTCTGACCTCAGATAGGCTGGCTTCTTGGCATTCCGGAACAAACCAGGTGAACACACCTCTGCAATTTCATCTACCCTTACCACCTGCTTCTCCGCCAGACCAGACAAGTCAGCTTCCCCCATTCCTCAAGTTTCTCTCTCCCTTTGAGAGGGGGTACTGGGAAAGGGAAATTGGAAATGGCACTAGTGATCCTCCCAGATACAATACTTCCTTGGGCTCATCCCTAAATAAACTCCAAGCCTCTCAAGGACCTAAATGGGAGGACCTTCCTTGCCCAGCTAGAGTAGACCTAGTCCCTTCTCCCAATGTATTTCCCCGAAGCCAGCATCTCCTGGGATACTCTAATGGAAGACCAGATCTTCAGGGAATGAACAGACCCTGACCCCAGGTAGGTGGCTAATGAGGAGAGAAAGAAGTAACCAAGACCAGGCATAGTGGTAAATATCTGTAGTCCCAGCACTTCGGAGGCTGTCAGGAGGCATTCAAATTCAAAGTCAACCTAGGCTACACAATCAGACTTGAAGAAGGAGGAGGAGGAGGAGGAGGAGGAGGAGGAGAAGAAGAAGAAGAAGAAGAGGAGGAGGGGAAGGAGGAGGAGGGGGGAGAGGAGGAAGAAGAAGAAAAAAAAAAGCCGGATACCAGTGATTCATGCCTGCAATCCTAGCTACTCAGGAGACTGAGATCTGAGGATCACTGTTTGAAGGCAGCCCAAGCAGAAAAGCCTGTGAGACTCTCATCTCCAATAAACTACCAACAAAGCTGAATGTGAAGCTGGGGTTCAAATGGTAGAATGCTGCCTTGAGCAAAAGAAGTTCAGCAATAGCACCAAGGTCCTGAATTCAATAGCATCTAGGCCCTGAATTCAAACCCCAGGATAGTCTCTCTCTCCTCTCTCTCTCTCTCCCTCTCTCACACACACACACACACATACACAGAGCCAAGTGCCCATGGCTCATGTTTGTAACACTAAGCTACTTAGGAAGCTGAGATCTGAGGCACACAATTTTTTTTTTTTTGGGTCTGGTCGTGGGGCCTGAACTCTGGGCCTGGGCGCTGCCCCTCAGCTCTTCAGCTCAAGGCTAGTGCTCTACCACTTGAGCCAAAGTGCCACCTCCAGCTTTTTTCTTTTTGCTTATGTGGTGCTGAGGAATCGAACCCAGGGCCTCAGGCATACAAGGCAAGCGCTCTACCACTGAGCCACCTTCCCAGCCCCTGAGGCACACAATTTGAAGCCAGCCTGGACAGGAAAGTCTGTGAGACTCTTATTTGGATTAAAAAACAAAAAACAAAAAACAGGTTTTGCTGGATTTTTTTGTGTTTGTTTGTTTTGCCAGTCCTGAGGCTTGAACTCAGGGCCTGGACACTGTCCCTGAACTTCTTTTGCTCAAGGCTAGCACTCTACCATTTGAGTCACAGCATCACTTCCGGCTTTTTCTGTGTATATGATACTGAGGAATCCAACCCAGGGCTTCATGCATGCTAGGCAAGTATTCTACCACTAAGCCATATTCCTGGCCACCACCACCCCTTTTTTTCTGCCTTTTCTTTTTTGGTACTACAGATGGAACCCAGGACATTGCACTTGCTAAGCAAATGCTTTGCCACTAAGCTATATCCCAGCTCCCATGAGACTCTTATCTGTAGTAAACCACCAAAAAGTTGGAAGTGGAGCTGTGGTTCAAGTGATAGAGCACTAACCTTGAGGAAAAAAAAAAAGAAAAGCTAAGCCTTAATAAACAAACAAACAAAAGACAGTTTGTACTACTGGAGGATAGAAGCCAGAGATCTTTCTTTCAGCTGTGTAACCTTGAGCAAGTGACTCAACCGCTCTGGGTTGTTTCCACAGTTGCGCAACAGGGGATCCTGTTCACATTACTGAAGTTCATCTTACTGGTCAGGCTCTTCCAACTTGTTGACTCTACTCCACATCTGAGGACTGAAGGATCACTACATGAAGTCCGGCCCCCAGACAGCTTTAACCCCCCTCACAGGTATAACTTAGCTCAAACCTGTTTTCTTAGTCCTATTCCAGCTTCATCGCATGTCCTTAAAGATGTCTCACTGGCCCAGGCAGGCTGAACAGATCCACATCGTGATACACTTCATCCATTAATACACACTTGTCTTTTTAAATCTTAGAATTCTGGGAAGTAGGGGCCATACTCTGTGTTTCCATTTTACAGAAGAGCAAACTAAGACTTACCCTGCTTAAAAAAACACTTACTCAAAGTGACCGGCTAATCAGTGCAGAGCTGGAGCTCGAATCTAAGCGGTGGGGATCCAAGGCTCCCCCATGCCTCCATCCACCGCACCTGGAGGAATGCTGACCCTCCGGGCAGGCCCTGCGGAGTAAAGAAGGGCGAGCTTAGTCCCAGCACACATGGGCAGCCTACCAAGGAGAAAGCAGGGCGGGGGCTCTGTCCTGCCTGCGGAACGCCAGCAGATCCCCCAGAGCTTGAGGCCTGGCCCGTGGAGGCCGGACCGCATGGCCGAGCTCCCCAAAGGGGCGGCGCGGAACAGCTACCCCCATACTCACCCAAGCGGTGGCGGTGAGGAGGGCCTTTCCTGCGCAGTCCGGGATCTGGGGGACCCCCGGGGAACCCGGGTTGAGCTGGAGGGGTGCGGGGGGGGGGCGGGTAGCAGCCGGGGTCGCGCTGGAGCGGGGAACGCCAGGGCGGGGCGGGGCTGCGGGCCTGGGGCGGAACTTCGGGAGGAAACTGAGCCTGTCTGCAGTGCGGGCTCCTCCCCGTTTCGGGGGGACCCCCGACCCCCTTACTTCTTTCCCCCTTAACTTGGTTTCTGCTGAATCCAAACCTCCGCAGCTCTGCTCGGCCCCCGCTGACTCTGGCTGCGTCGGGCACCGGAAGAGCGCGGGACCCGGGATCCTGACTTGTTGGGTAAGCCTCCTCCGGGTCTGCCCACCTCTCGCCCGCATGCCGTCACCTGTTGAAGGACACACAGAGATCAGTGCGACACGACCCTTATTTCTCACCTCCTGGTCCCGAGGGTCTCCTGACCTCCACCCCACACCACGTTCTAACCGAATTCTCCAGCTTCGCCCTGGCGTAAAACATGAGCCATTTTTGCCGCAGCCTCGACAAACTTGGCTCCTCCGTGCGGGGTTGCGGCATTGCAGCCAGGGTTCTCAAGATAGCATCTTGCAGGTTAGTGGGATCCTGGTCTAAACGCCCCCTCCCCTCTTTCCATCCCCCCCCTCGCCGTCCCCCAAACTGAGCCAGTGCTGGTCCCACCTTTGATCAGGAGAGGGCGCCCTCTCCCATCAAACGTAGCAAGGAGAGCCTATCTCTGGCCTCAGCCTGGGGGGCGGGGGTCTCTTCATAATCAGAAAGGGTTGATCCTCAGAAACTAGCTCCCAGAGTTCTCATCCTGACCTTGACCAACCCATAAAGGGGGACCCTTTTCCAAAGGTCATCCTGCCCCCAACAAGGAAGCACTGTGAAGGGACGAAAGATCCCTCCTGCGGGAATCTTGGCGACTCCAGAGACCAGGTGACATACTATGGAGCTAGACATGGTTACCATCAGACCTCTCCCATTTAAATCCCCACAGTAATAATGAACATATTCTGAGTACCTCCTATATCCTAGGAGCTTTTCATGTTAGTTCATAAAAGTCCTATGAGGGATATGCTATTAGTATCTCCACTCTACCAATGGAAACCATAGAAGGTACATTACCTGTTCACACAGTAAATATCTGAATCAGGATCGAAACTTTACACAAGGTTATTTCCTTAATTACTATATATTGTTCATCCTTAATGACTACAGATTGCTCATCTCAATGTTGCTAGTTTGCAAAATAGGAAATGCAGGCCCAAAAGTGTTAACTTGCCAGAATTCTTTCATTTCATTAGTGGCATTTAAGTCTGGAGCAAAGGGGTCTTACTCTAAAAAACATCTCTTGTTTGAATGCTCCCATATACTGTTCTTTAGAGTTGCAGGATTAGTAAGAGTTTTGTTTTTGTTTTTGTTTTTTTGAGGTGTTTTGTTTTGCTGTCCTGCAGGTTGAATCTAGGGCCTTGTTCATGATAGGCAAGTAGGTAAAAGTTTACTAAAAATAACTTCCAGCAGGGTGTACTGACACATACTATAATCCCAACTATTCAGGAGACAGAGATAAGAAGGATCTCTTCCCTTTTTTGGGGGGGGGGAGGGAAGGGGTCCAGTTGTGGGGCCTGAACTCTGGGCCTGGGCGCTGCCCCTCAGCTCTTCAGCTCAAGGCTAGCGCTCTACCACTTGAGCCACAGTGCCACTTCCAGGTTTTTTCTTTTTGCTTATGTGGTGCTGAGGAATCGAATCCAGGGCCTCATGCATGCAAAGCAAGTGCTCTACCACTGAGCCACCTTCCCAGCCCCATCTCTTCCCTTTGAGGTCAACCTTGGTAAAAGGTTAGCCAGGTCCCCATCTTAACCAACAGCTGGGTGTGATGGCACACACCTACTATCCTAGATATACCGAAGGCATAAATGAAGGATCATGCTCCAGGACCACTGGGCAAAAAAAGCTGTAAGACCCTATTCTCTTTTTTATTTTAATTTTATTGTCAAGTGATGTACAGAGGGGTTACAGTTACATGAGTAAGGTAGTGATTACATTTCTTGTCTAACTTGTTACCTTCTCCCCCATTTTTCCCCCTCTCTCTCTCCCCTCATCCCCCCCCCCAAGTTGTACAGATCATTTCAAACATATTGTCTTGTGAGTATTGCTGTCCCTTTGTCCCTTGTCTTAGCATTTTGTTGTTCCCCTTCCCTTCCCTAGTTCAGATAAATATACATACAATAGCCAGGGTACCAAAATCGAGTACAGCGACAAGAGGGGATAAACTATAGGGGGAAAAACACAAAAGAAAAAAGAAATCAATACATTAAGAAAGGTTAGCCAGGGGCTGGGGGCTTATGCCTGAAATCCTAGCTACTCAGGAGGCTGAGATCTGAGAATCACAGTTCAAAGCCAGCCCGGGCAGGAAAGTCCGTGAAACTCTTATCTCTCCAATAAAAACCACTAGAAAACTGTAAGTGGTGCTGTGGCTCAAGTGGTAGAGCACTTGCCTTTAGCTTGAAGACTTGAGGGATAGCACCCAAGCCCAGAGTTCAAGCCCCACGACCTACAAAAAATAAAAACAAAACAAAACAAAAACAAACAAACAAAAAAGGTTAGCCAGGTCCCCATCTTAACTGACAGCTGGGTGTGACAGCATATACTTATCCCAGATATACCGAAGGCAGAAGTGGAGGATCATAGTCCTGGACCACTGGGGAAAAAAGCTGTAAGATCCTATTCTAAAAAACAAAACAAAAAGAAAAGGACCACAAAGTAGTGCTGGGATATAGCTGAAGTGGTAGAGCACCTGTCTAGCAATCATGAGGCCCTGAGTTCAAACTCCAGTACCACCAAAAACAAGAACAAACAAAAAAACCCAACTACTTTTACTTAAGTGATGCACAAAGTCCTCCATTTATCTATAATAGCCATAATGTGTAAACCTATTGAGACAGAATGTGGATTGGTGGTTATTAGGGGCTCTGGAGGAAGAAAACATGAAATAGTGTTTAGTGGATAAGTAGGTTTGTCATTAAGCAAAGAAAATGTTTAGAATTACAAAGTGATTGCTGTAGAACATTGAAAATGTACAAATAAGCCAGGTGCAGATGGCTATAATCCTAGCTACTCAGGAGACTGAGATCTAAGGATCACAGTTCAAAGCCAGCCCTTATCTCCAGTAAAACCCCAGAAAACCGGAAGTGGTGCTGTGGCTCAAGTGTTAGAGCCCTTACCTTGAGCTGAAGAGCTCAGAGACAACACCCAGACCCAGAGTTCAAGCTCCACAAAACACTAAAAAAAAAAAAAAAGAAAGAAAGAAAGAGAAAAGAAAATATACAAATACCACTGAATTGTTTTCTTTTTAAAATGCTTAACTGAAAAGAATTTATTAGCCAGGCACTGGTAGCTTACTCCTGTAATCCTAGCTGCTCAGGAGAGTGAGATCTGAGGATCACAGTTCAAAGCCACCCCGGGCAGGAAAGTCTGTGGGACTCTGATATCCAATTAACCACCAGAAAACTGGAAGTGGCATTGAAGCTCAAGTGGTAGAATGCTTGCCTTGAACTGAAGATATCAGGAACAGCACCCAGGCCCAGAGCTCAAGCCCCACAACTGAAAAAAAAAATTATTGTAGGGCTGGGAAGGTGGCTCAGTGGTAGAGTGCTTGCCTAGCATGCATGAAGCCCTGGGTTTGATTCCTCAGTACTACATATACAGAAAAAGCCAGAAACGGCATTGTGGCTCAAGTGGTAGAGTGCTAGCTTTGAGCAAAAGAGGCTTAGAGACAGTGCCCAGGCCCTGAGTTCAAGCCCCAGGACTGGCAAATCTATCTATCTATCTATGTAAAAGTGATGTACACAAGAGTTACAGTTACATGATCCAAGTAAAGAGTACATTTCCTTTTGAACAGTGTCATCCTCCTTCTAAAATGCTCAATTTTATGTCATATTAATTTCATTTCCGTATTTAATTTTATTTTTGTGCTGGTACCATGGCTTGAACTCAGTGTCTGGCATTCTTGCTTAGCTTATTTGCTCAGGGCTGGCACTCTACCATTTCAGCCAAGCCTACAATTCCTCAATTTCATAAAAATGAAAAAAAAAATCAACATGCAAATTTTAAAAAGCATTCAACAGCTGTGAGAAAAAATGCTGAATATAGCATTACCACATATCGCAGCATTTCCACTCTTAGATATCAAGTCAAGAGAATAGAAAATACATGTCCGCAAAAAGCAAAAACAAAACCTGCAAACAACCCAAATGTTTACTAATAGACAAAAAGTGGTATGTTCATAAAATGGAATATTAGTCAACTATAAAAAGAAATGTAATGTAATAGATACATGCTATCCATATCGATGAGCCTTGAAAACATTATGCTAAGTGAAAGAAGTCAGACACACAAGCCATGATTGATTCTATTTAAATGAAATTACACAACAGGCAAATAAATACAGAAAGGAGATTAGTGGGTGGTTGTTGGGCTAGGGCAAAGGGCTACACAGTGATTGTTAATGGATCTAGGATTCTTTTCAGGAGTTAAAAAGTAAAAAGTGTTCTGGAATTAGATAGTGGAAATGGCTATACAACTTGGCGACTACGTTAAAAATTATTGAATTCTAATTTTTTTTCTTGTCAGTACCAGAGTTAGAACTCAGGGTTTTGTGCTTGTTCAGTTTGTTTGCTTGGTTGGTGCTCTACCATTTGAGCCATTCCTTCAACCAGCTTTTTACATATTATTTTGGAGAGTGAGTCTTGAAGCCTTTTCTTCAAGACTCGCTCCAAACTGAGAACCTCTAGCCTTGTTATTAGCTAGCATTTCAGGCATGAGCTACCAGTACCTGGCTTGAATTATACACTTTTAAAAATGTACACCTAGTGCCTGTGGCTCACGCCTGTAATCCTAGCTACTCAGGAGACTGAGACTTAGGATTGTGGTTCAAATCCAGCCTGAGCAGAAAACTCTGTGATACTTATTTCCAATAAAATACTCAAAAAAGCCAGAAGTGGGGCTGTGGTAGACCGCTCACCTTGAGCAAAAAGAAGCTCAGGGACAGCACCCAGGCCCAGAGTTCAAGCCCCAGGACTAACACACACACAAAAAAATATAATGAATTGGAGTTTATCTTAATCTACCAATAGATGGGCCTCAATAAATGGAAGCTACTATTACAAAAACTAAAATGAGAGAATAGGTTGAGCAGACAAGTATAAAATGTTAGATGAAGCCGGGCGCCAGTAGCTCATGCCTATAATCCTGCTACTCAGGAGGCTGAGATCTGAGGATCTCGGTTCTGGGCCTGGGCA